AAAAATTGTGAAAACAACCCAAAAATCACCAAAAAATCACCAATAATCAAAATGTTATCAATTTTTTTTGTGAAATCTGTTATAGGTACAGATTTCTGTTGTTCGGTGACCCCTAGTGAAATTTGATGAAAAATATTTTCTCCTTTGACTTTACTCCCCTAACATCATTGCTTATGGTCATTCGGCCATCAAATCGGAAAAAGGTATAAAATGACCCAAATAATCGCTATATTATTAGCGATTTTTGACTGATAGGCATTGTGGTTATGGATTTCTTTTCTTCGACGACTAATAGTGAAATTTGATGAAGATAATATTTCCCCTTTATATTATTTCTCTGTAAACAATAATAATGGTCGTTTTTCACCAATTCTGAAAAATACGTAAAACGACCAAAAAAACGCTTAATTGTTATCACTAAATTTTCAGCGATTTTTGATTGACCCATAGTGAAATTTGATGAAAAACATTTTTTCCCTTTATATCATTCCAGTAAAATCATTGATTATGGCCGTTTTAAATCAATTCTTAAGAAATGTATAAAAAGACCCATTGTTATTGATTTTTGATTCATAGGCATTGTGGCTACGGATTTCTGTTCTTTGATGACTTATATTGAATTTTTATGAAGAATATTTATTTCCTTAAATTTTTCCTCTATCCTTTATAATTATGGTCGTTTTTCACCAATTTTGAAAAATTGTACAAAATGACCCAAAAATCGCTAAACTGTTATCCCTACATAGTTAGCGGTTTTGATTGATAAATATTGTAGCAACCGATTTCTTTACTTCGATGACCCATAGTGAAATTTGATGAAGTACACTTTTCCCCTTTATATCATTTGCCTAATATCATTGATTATGGTCGTTTTCTACCAAATCTGCAAACATGGTGCAAAAAGACCCAAAAATCGCTACATTGTTAGAATTTTTTGATTGCTATGCCTTGTGGCTACGAGTTTCTTTGCTTTGACGACTTATAGTGAAATTTGATGAGGAATATTTTTTCTCTTTACATCATTCCCCTAACGTCATTGATTGTGGTCGTTTTCTACCAATTTCGAAAAATGGCACAAAATGACTCAAAAATCGCAATATTGTAAGCAATTTTTGATTGCTAAGCCTTGTGGCTACGATTTCCTTTTCTTTGGTGACTTGTAGTGGAATTTAATGAGGATTATTTTTCCTTTTGACATCATTCTCCTAACATCTTTGGTTATGGTCGTTTTCTACCAATTTAGAAAAATGGCACAAAAAATACCAAAAATCGCTACATTGTTAACAATTTTTCTTTTCTTCGATGACTTATAGTGAAATTTCATAAGGATTTTTTTTCCTTTTGACATCATTCTCCTAACATCATTGGTTGTGGTCATTTGTTATAGTCTTTTCTACCAATTTTAAAAAATGGTACAAAATGACCCAAAAATCGCCAAAATGTTAACATTTTTGATTGCTATGTCTTGTGGCTAAGAGTTTCTTTTCTTCGATGACTTATAGTGAAATTTTTTATAGATTATTTTTCCTTTTGGCATCATTCTCCTAACATCATTGGTTAGGGTCGTTTTCTACCAATTTCGAAAAATGGAAGAAAATGACCCAAAAATCGCTAAATTGTTAACAATTTTTGATTGCTAAGCCTTGTGGCTACGAGTTTCTTTGCTTTGATAACTTTTAGTGAAATTTTATAAGGATTATTTTTCCTTTTGACATCATTCCCCACACATCATTGGTTATGGTCGTTTTCTACCAATTTCGAAAAATGGAAGAAAATGACCCAAAAATCGCTAAATTGTTATCATTTTTGATGGATAATCGTTGTGGCTACGAGTTTCTTTTCTTTGATGACTTATAGTGAAATTTTTAAGGGTTATTTTTCTTCTTTACATAATTCTGGTAAAATCATTGGTTATGGTCGTTTTCTACCAATTCTGAAAAATGGAAGAAAATGACAAAAAATCGCAAAAATGTAAACATTTTTGATTGCTAAGCTTTGTGGCTACGGATTTCTTTTCTTCGATGACTTATAGTGAAATTTAATGAACAATATTTTTTCCTTTTATATTATTTCTCTATAATCAATAATTATGGTCGTTTTCTACCAATTCTCAAAAGTGGTACAAAATCGGTAAATTGTGATCACTAATTTCTTAGTAATTTTTTATTGATAAACGTTGGGGCTACGGATTTCTTTCTTTCACCGACTACTAGTAAAATTTAAGAAAGAATATTTTTTTCTTTTAATTCATTCTCCTAAAATTATTGATTATGGTCGTTTTCAACCAATTTCGAAAAATGACACAAATAGACCCAAAAATCGCTAAATTGTTAACATTTTTGATTGCTAAGCTTTGTGGCCAGGAGTTTCTTTTCTTTGGTGACTTATAGTGAAATTTAATGAGGATTATTTTTCCTTTTGACATAATTCCCCTAACATCATTGGTTATGATAATTTTCCACCAATTTCGAAAAATGGAAGAAAATGACCAAAAAATCGCCAAAATGTTAACATTTTTGATTGCTAATCCTTGTGGCTACGAGTTTCTTTTCTTTGATGACTTATAGTAAAATTTTATAAGGATTATTTTTTCTTTTTATATCATACCCTTAACATCATGTGTTAGGGTCGTTTTCTACCAATTCTGAAAAATGGCACAAAAAAAAATCGATAAATTGTTAGCAATTTTTAATTGCTAAGCTTTGTGGCTACGATTTTCTTTTCTTCGATGACTTGTAGTGAAATTTGGCGAGGATTATTTTTCTTCTTTACATCATTCTGCTAAAATTATTGGTTAGGGTTGTTTTCTACCAATTTTGAAAAATGGAAGAAAATGACCCAAATCGCAATATTGTAAGCATGTTTTTATTGCTTAGCCTTGTGGCTACGATTTTCTTTTCTTTGGTGACTTATAGTGAAATTTGACGAGCAATATTTTTCCTTTTGACATAATTCCCCTAACATCATTGGTTATGGTCGTTTTCTACAAATTCAAAATAATATAAAAAATGACCCAAAAAATCGCTACATTGTTAGCGGTTTTTGATTGATAAATGTTGGGGCTGCGGATTTCTTTTCTTCGATGACCCATAGTGAAATTTGATGAAGAATATTTTTTCCTTTTATTGTATTCTCCTAAAATCATTGATTATGGTCGTTTTCTACCAATTTCGAAAAATGGAAGAAAATGACCCAAAAATCGCTACATTGTTAACAATTTTTGATTGCGAAGTCTTGTGGCTACGAGTTTCATGTTTTTAATGATTTATAGTGAAATTTGATGAGGAATATTTTTTCTCTTTACATCATTCCCCTAACGTCATTGATTGTGGTCGTTTTCTACCAATTTCGAAAAAATGGAAGAAAATGACCAAAAAAATCGCCAAAATGTTAACAATTTTTGATTGCTAAGCCTTGTGGCTACGTGTTTCTTTACTTCGATGACTTATAGTGAAATTTAATGAAGATTATTTTTCCTTCTGACATCATTCTCCCAACATCATTGATTATGGTCGTTTTCTACCAATTTCGAAAAATGGAAGAAAATGCCCAAAAAGCGCTAAATGGTTAACATTTTTGATTGCTTAGGCTTATGGCTACGGATTTTATTTCTCCGATGGCTTATAGTGAAATTTAATGAGGATTATTTTTCCTTTTGACATCATTATCCTAACATCATTTACTATGGTCGTTTCTACCAATTTCGAAAAATGGAAGAAAAAATCCCAAAAAATCATAAATATTTTCAATGTTAATCTATTTTTTTTTTTTCTACCGATTTCTTTTGTTTTGTGAATATATCTACCTTGAACCCATCCTACCCCACTAATGCAATAAAATTTTAATTTTTATTTTTAAACCACATCCTTTTTATTTCGATTTCACCACAAGGTTTTATTTTTTCTTAACTCCGATAAAATTTTGCACATTTTTTTTATTGTTATTGTCTTTTTTTTTTGCCTCACCACAACACAATAAAAATAAATTTTTCATTATTTTTATATGATGTTTTGTTTTGCTCGTTGTTTTCTTAGATTATTATCGGTACGTGTGATTTTTTTTTTTTTGTTACTGAAGCAGAAAGTTGTTTACCTCGCCATTATCTGGACTGGTTGGCTGGTGGTGATGACAGTCATATTGTCAGGGTGATGGTAACTTGCATGCGGTGGTGGGGCAACGGGAAGTGCATGTCTCCGGATAGAGAAGGCCTCTTCTTTGTTCCAGTGCAAAAAAATTAAAATCTTGATATTGTTGTGGGTGCAGTTTTTCGCCAGTCACCAGTCTGCCGGACATCAATCGCATTTAGTTATTTGTTTTATTATTAAGAATAATTTTCGTTCATTCTTTGTGTGTGCCAAAGTCGTTGTCGTTGTTCGTCTTCTTTTTGTAATTTTTATTATCAATTTTATTGATGGCAATAATTGTGCAAAGGTCTTTGCTCCCAGTGGCAATTCGGCTCCACCCGTCTTTGTTAAGAAAAAAGCTCTTTAATTCCGTTGTCTAGCCAAGGAAGATTGAGTGGCTGGGGGATATTAAAGGGATTTCATTGGGCTTTGTTTCAAAAGCCTTCAGTCTCTTGTGGCCATGACTTTTTAGCTCTTGCCTTAAATCGTTTAAAAATTGATATTTAAAATATTCAATATTCCATTACGGCGTGGCAAACCTATTTCAACATTGATTGTCACAGCCCTTTTTGCGCTTTAAATAATCCGCTAAGCCGCAATAAATCAAGTGGTCAGGTAAGTAGCTCAAGGTCGCCCAGAAATAATGAAAAAATAAATAAATTTTTAATGATATGGCCATTGAAATTATCGGTAATTTGTTTTTATCAACAATTTGTTTTGATTATTTTGAAAAAAAAAAAACCTCAACTCTCTGCTCTGCTCCCTAGCCAAATTTAGCAACAAGGTTTCTAAATTTATTTTACATTTATTTGTTTCATTCAGAAAATAATCACATTATTCTAATTTATTTCCATTCTTTTTTTTTTCTCTTTTCAGAATCTTGGATTGAATTGAGTACGGCAGCCACAATGGCCGGTGTCAAAAGTCCAGACAGAATAACACCCTTGCCCTTTGCCAATGGCGAAGAATATTTACGTTTGTTGCGTGAGGCCCAACGTGAATCGAATCAATCGAGTCGGGTTGTTTCGTTGGCCAGCTCACGGCGTGATACACCCAGAGACAGGTATGTTTGGAGAATAAATTGAAAAAAAAAAAAACCTTTTTTAATTCTTTAAAAAATTTATTTTGATTTTTAGGTCAGTTTTTTTCAAAAATGAAAACGAAATCGTACGGGAAAGGTTTTTGGGACCCACTAATCTAAAACCTCAACCAGAAGGGCATTCAAAATTAGATCCACAAAGAAATCGGTCAGGCTTCCTTCACAAGCTTTTTTTGGACTCACTAAACCCTACCTCAGATGTCGCCAGAAGGGTATTCAATATTTGGTCCACAAAGATACACTCAGCCAATTCCTCAACTGAATCAGTTCTTAAACCCCACCTCAGAAGACGCCAGAAGGGTATTCAAAATTTGACCCACAAAGAAATCGGCCTGGATTCACAATTTTTTTTTGGACTAACTCAGCCAATTCCTCAATTGAATCAGTTGTTAAATCCCACCTCAGATGTCGACAGAGGGGTATTCAAAATTTGACCCACAGAGAAATCGGTCTGGCTTCACAAGCTTTTTTGGGACTCACCAGGCCAAATGCCTTAAGTGAATCCGTTCTTAAACCCCACCTCAGATGTCACCAGAACGATATTCAAAATTTGATCCACAAAGAAATCGGTCAGACTTCCTTCACAATCTTTTTTTTTTGGACTCACTAAGCCAATGCCCTAAATGAATCAGTTCTTGAACATCACCTTTAAAATTTGATCCACAAAGAAATCGGTCTGGCATCACAAGTTTTTTTTCGGACTCACAAAGCCGGACTCGGCTTAAACCCCATCTCAGATATCGACAGAAGGATATTTAAAATTTGATCCACAAAGAAATCGGTCTGGCTTCAAAAGCTCTTTTTTGGACTCACTGAATCAGTTCTTCAACACCACCTCTAATATGACCCAAAAATCGATCGATAATCAAAATATTTTTTATATTTTTATTGGTATATGTTACACCTACAGTTTTCTGTTGGTTGACAACCCCCAATGAAATTTGGTGAAGAACTTTTTCTCCCTTGACATTATTCCCCTAACACCATTGGTTATGGTCGTTTTCGACCAAATCCCAAAAAAAATGATGAAATGAAAATGAATGGCAAAAAATGACCCAAAAAAAAAATTAATATTTTAAATAGGTTTTTGATTGCTTAGCCTTGTGACTAGAGAATTCTTCTCTTCGACGACTTATAGTGAAATTTAATAAAGAATATTTTTCTCTTCTGTAGCATTGCTCTATCGTTAATAATTATGGCCGTTTTCTACGAATTATCAAAATTGGTAGAAAATCGCCCAAACAATTTTTTTCGGATTTGTTAACAGTTTTTTAAAAGAAAATTACAATAACTACAGATTTCTTATGTTTGAGATTCCATATTGAAATTTGATAAATAATATTTCCTTTATTGTCGCCATCTGTCTACGATGCATAATTATGGTCGTTTTTCAAAAAATTTATGAAAATTACCCAAAAATCGCCAATAATCAAAATATTATTGATATTTTTATTGGTATATATTATACCTACAGTTTTCTGTTGGCAGATAACCCCCAATGAAATTTGGTGAAGAACATTTTCGCCTTTGACATTATTTCCCATGCATCATTGGTTATGGTCGTTTTTGACCAAATCACAAAAATTGGCATAAAATGACCCAAAAATACTAATATTTTAAACATGTTTTTTAATTGCCTATCCTTGTGACTACCAAATTCTTCTCTTCGACGATTTATATTGAAATTTAGAACATTTTTTCACTTTACATCATTCACCTAAAATCACTAATTAGGATTGTTTTCCGCCAACTATGAAAAATATTAAAAAATAAGCCAAAATTTGTTAAATTTCCCTATTTGTTAGTGATTTTTGAGGTATAACCATTGTGGCTACGGATTTTTTTACTTCGGTGACCTATGATGAAATTTGATGAAGACCATTTCCCCCCTTTACATCATTCTCCTAACATTACTAATTAGGATAGTTTTCCGCCATCTATGAAAGTTGGAATAAAAAATGACCAAAAATCGCTAAATTGTTATCCCAACATTGTTAGCGACTTTTGATGGATAACCATTGTGGCTACGGATTTCTTAACTTCAGTGACCTATAGTGAAATTTTATGGAGAACATTTTTTTCCTTTACTTCATTCACCTAACATCAGTAATTCGGATCTTTCTATGAAAAATGATTAAAATGGTCTAAAAATCACTAAATTGTTCCCTACATTGTTAGCGATTTTTGATTGATTTTGCGGCTACGGATTTCTTTACTTCGATGACCTATAATGAAATTTGATAAAGAACATTTTTCCCTTTGATATCATTCACCTAACATCACTATTTAGGATCGTTTTCCGCCATCTATGAAAAATAGAAAAAATGACACAAAAAATTGCTAAATTTTTATCCCTAAATTGTTAGCGATTTTTGATGGATAACCATTGTGGCTACGGATTTTTTTACTTCGATGACCTATGGCGAAATTTTATGGAGAACATTTTTCCCCTTTACATCATTCCCCTAACATTACTAATTAGGATAGTTTTCCGCCATCTATAAAAGTTGGAAAAAATGACCAAAAATCGCTAAATTGTTATCCCAACATTGTTAGCGATTTTTGATGGATAACCATTGTGGCTACGGATTTCTTTTCTTTGAAGACCTATGATGAAATTTGATGAAGACCATTTCCCCCCTTTACATCATTCCCCTAACATCACTAATTAGTGCAGTTTTCCGTCATCTATGAAAGTTGGAAAAAAATGACCCAAAAAATCGCTAAATTGTTATCCCTATATTGTTATTGATTTTTGATGGATAACAATTGTGGCTACGGACTTTTTTACTTCGATGACCTATAGTGAAATTTTATGGAGAACATTTTTCCCCTTTACATCATTCACCTAAGGTTACTTATTAGGATCGTTTTCCACCAACTCTGAAAAATGATAAAAAAACTGATAATGGGGTCTCAAACCAAAGATACATTGAAGACTATTTTTGGGGAAACTTTGAATTTTCTTTATTTGAGGATGTAGTTTTCAATTAAAATTTATTATATTCTTTCTTTTGTTTATTAAATTGTTTAAATATCTGATTTTATTGTATTATCTGTATATTAATTTAGAAAAATCCAAATATCTTTTAATAATTTCCATATCTTTTGTTTTCTGTTTTTTTTTTTTTTCAGTCCAAAATCTCCACCAAACAGTCCAAATACAGAATTGTGTCCCGATGAGGAACTGAAAAATGTATATATTAATTATTGGAATAAGGTGAGTGTCAACTGAAAATTTTCCCAAGGAGTTGCTAATATTTATATTTCCTCTCTCCTGCAGACTGCTGATGCAAAAGACAATAGCGATTGGTTGGATGAATGGAATAGCCGACCAGATCAACAGCCACCAAAGTAAGTAAAGGGTTTATTTTTTTTAATTTTCAAATATTAATTCGTTTTTGTTCTTCACAGAGATTGGAAATTCGAACATCCCCAGAATCAACAGAAAAAGAAAACAGCTGGCTATTCTATACGTCTGACCCGTTTGGGCAAGAATTCCTTGTTTTCACGTGAGATTTTGTATTCCCTAATATTATCGAATGTACTGTCGCTACTTCTAGGAGCTGGTTTGGGGTGAGGTTTTGAAACAAGCTAATGTTTTGGAAAATGTTTTTAATTTTTGTTTTTTCGTTTTCTTTCTTCCAGGTTATGGCTTAGCAAACGTGGCATTTTGTTTACCCGAGTGGTAATCGACTGAAGTGTTTTTCGTTTTCGTTTTATTTTCATTTTGTATCACCTCTAGAAAAAACGACTCTCGTTTCTTATTTCTTTTTCTTCTAAAACAAAAACGATCTTCTATACATATATGTATGTATATATAACAAAAACTACATATACATATATATAACATAACAATTTACATATGTAAACTTAGTGTGTAAGGTGTGATTTATATAATATATAATTTATGAGATTGAAGGTTCAAAGGGCAAGGAGGTGGGATGGGTGTTGCAAGAACAATGTATATCCCCCAGCCTCTTTGGCCTTGGATTTCAATCTTTGCTGTTTTTCTATTTACTGCTTTTTCCACATTCGTTAAATTATTTTTTTAAAAGAAGAAGTCATTTGTATAGTTTTTCTTTTCACAAAAAAGAAAACACAAATTGAAATTCTTAAAAATCGATGTAAAATTAAATATATTTCAAAAAAAAACAAAGGAAGATAACTTTATATGGGCTCAGGTTATAATGAATTTATTGAAAAAAATATATATGGAAATTTGAAAAAAAAAATCATTTTATTTTAGTTAAAATTCAATAGAATATTAGCTTAAATTTGCTTTAAAAAGTCCATTATTTATTTGCCGTAAAAATTTGATTTTCTTGGGCGCGAAAGAGTTACGCCTTAAATATAATTTAAAAGAGCTTACGAACAGCTATGGAAGCCACTCTAATTTTCGATAGTTTAAAGAAAGTTTGGTATCAATTGGTTTCCCCCTTTTGCCAGATTTCTTTCAAGAATCGTAAAGCTATGTTGGATTAGCATTTTATTTAAATGCTGTATTTATTCCTTTTTTTTTTTTGTTAAAATCAAAGTAAATACAAAAAAGAGACATGTTATAAATTAACACAACAACACAAAAACAATCAAACCAACAACAAGATAACGTACATTTTTTTATTATCATTACTCTTAAATGAAAACGAGTTTTTTTTATTATTATTATTATTAATATAATATACATTTGCATAATATACAATACCCATTTTTATATATATATTATACGTCAAGATAAAGAAAAAATGAGAAAAAAAACAAAAATTTTTTAAACTAGACTTCTTTTTTTTTATTAAATATAATAATTTAAAAAAAAAAAAAACATCTATTTAAATATAAAAATATCGAAAACGGTATGTGAATTACAAAAAAGAAAAACAAACCATGCGTCAAAAATTAGATACCCTCTTGAATACAAGAAAAATCACAATAAAAAAAATCCAAAAAAAAATATATAGAGTGTTTTATTTGCTTAAAGAAAACCAGTAAAGAAAGGCGAAAAATCTGACTTGGCCCCATGGTAGAAAAATATAGGTAGATGCATCAACGCTTGGAAACATTGATATGTCAAAATTTTTGAAATGTATTTTAAAAAAATAAGCTAATTTTTGAGGCGGCAAATTTGAATAAATTTTGCTACGGGTAGTCGCAAAATAAATATACATTTGTATAGAGAATTTATTTAAAGCAGATGTTTATGTTATATTAAGGCTTTACTGCATTTATAATTTGAAACCGTAATGAACTTGATATATGCTATATGCCATTCTAAATCGATTTCCATTCAATTTGAAGAGGGCATTTTAATAATAAATCAATTTTTGCGTTCTGTTTTGGATTTTTTTTTTTGTAAAAAAATTAAATTCATATTCACACTGACAATAGCCGCCGCTAAAAGTAACTAGTTCCATGGTTCATTTATTGAATTTTCAAGCTGATTGCGATTTCAGTTTGACGGAGGCATTTGTGTCGACTTCGACTTTGAGAACGCTTTCAATAAACCCTATATAATCGATTTCCATTTAATTTTTTATAATAAATTAATTATTGCATTCTGTTTTGGGTTTTTTTTAGAAAAAAGTTAAATTTAAATTCACATAGACTATAATGGCATGATAAGCCACCGCTGAAAGTAACTAGTTCCATGGTTCATTAAATGAATTTTAAATCTGATTGCGATTTTAATTTGACGGAGGCATTTGTGTCGACTTCGACTTTGAGAACGCTTTCATTAAACTCCATATATCGGGAGCTATGGCTATAATCTATTCAAAATCGATTTGCATTCAATTTTTTTAATAATAAATCAATTTTGTTATTGCAAAATGGTCAGGCTTATCCCTTTATTGTTGTTTTTATAAAAACAACGTTTGTTTATTAGTGGAGAACGATGGTAATGTTTATTATTTAATTCTGTTTCTTATTTTTTTTTTTGTGGGAAAAAGTTAAATTTATATTTACTTTTACGGTAAGCCGTAACTAGCTCCATGGTTCATTTAATGAATTTTCAAGCTGAGGAGGCATTTGTGTCGTCTTCGACTTTGAGAACACTTTCACTAAACTCCATTTATCGGAGCCTTGGATATAATCCATTTAAAATCGATTTCCATTTAATTTTTAATAATAAAACAATTATTGCATTCTGTTTTGAATTTTTTTTTTGGGAAAAAGTTAAATTTAAATTCACAATGACAATAGCCGCAGCTAAAATTAACTAGTTCCATGGTTCATTTAATGAATGTTCAAGCTGATTGTGATTTCAATTTGACGGTGGCATTTGTGTCGACTTCGACTTTGAGAACGCTTTCATTAAACTCCATATATCGGGAGCTATGGCTATAATCCATTCAAAATCTATTTCCATTCAAATTTTTAATAACAAAACAATTATTGCATTCTGTTTTGGATTTTTTTTTTGGAAAAAATATAAATTCAAATTTACACTGACAATAGCCACTGCTGAAAGTAACTAGCACTCGGTTCATTTAATGAATTTTCAAGCTGATTGTGATTTCAGTTTGACGGAGGCGTTTGTGTCGACTTCGACTTTGAGAACGCTTTCATTAAACCCCATATATCGGAAGCTATGGCTATAATGCATTCAAAATCAATTTCCATTCACTTTTTTAATAATAAATCAATTATTGCATTATGTTTTGGATTTTTTTGGAAAAACAGGTTAAATTTAAATTCACATTGTCTATAGCCGCCGAATGACATGATAAGCCGCCGCTGAAAGTAACTAGTTCCATGGTTCATTTAATGAATTTTCAAGCTGTTTGTGATTTCCTTCATGTCTTATTCATAGACAACAGCCCTCTCGGCGTTATGCATTACACTCATTCGTAAACAAGAGAGTTCTCGGGGACTTGGCTCATTAGTTGTCTGCCTTGTTTGTTTACATTGTTTGGGGCGCTTTTTATTTTGATTTGCTCTGCCTAAACATAACCGCGCAAAGCAGATGGACACACACTACTCAAGAAGAACATTGCATTGGATTGGAATTGCACACATTGGTTGGGCGGGATTATATTGACAATATTGGAAAAACAGTGAGTAGTATCCCAAAATGAATTTAATCCAACTGGTTGGGTATTGGTCGGTATGAGTCTTATAGGTTAGGATTCCCGTGGCCCATTTCATCAGTGAGTAAAATCCCAAAATAAATTCTATCAAGAGTCTTATAGATTATAGTCAAATGGAGTAAATGGCCATCGAGTGTTGTCGCAATCCCCTTGATTGGAAAATCTTTAAATTTCAATAAAGGAAGAGACCGTTGCGCGTCCAGCGTTTTTGCCTGATAAGAAAGCTGTACGGGGTTCAATGGTGTAGGAAATCAGGGAATTACGCTGAAATAAGTGAAATACTATTTACACAGATGATGCTACATCCTATATCTGCAACAGCTTTAGTTCTTCGCACTATAGGTCAATCGGCATCAGATTCGCATCAAATAGCCAAGAATATTTCGCCGTTTGCATTCATTTTTGAGTTGAGTCATACCAACCTTCTACTGTCCGGTATATAATGGGCATCGGAGTGACCTTTGTGACCGGAAACAGGCTTTTACACGGTATGGAGATAGTGACACCGCATTGCAGTGTATCTTATGCATAAGTGTAGTTTGGTTTCAATTTGCAAGGGATGCTGCTTTTCCCATGATTTCCAAGCGATTCCTTGAAGTGTTGCTCTGAGAAAAAGGATATGAAAGCATTAAAATGAAACATTTTAAGGACAATTTAATAATTTTTAATTTAATAATGTAGAACATAGCTATTTTCCTTTTTCTAGATTCCAAAATAACCCATCATACAACGATCCTGCATTATACAACGATCCTGCTTCGGCCTAAATTGTGAAAGACTCCTTAAGTCGCGTTTTAAGCATCATGCTACTTTCAAGACAGATACGAATTTTAACCAAGTTAACTATAAACCAATTAAAAATCACACAAAATGTTGGCGGTCAGCGTTTCCTGAGAGGCGGAAGACCCAAGGTGAGTAGAATAATGGAAATAGTGTGTGCATCTTGAGCGTTTCCTTTGTTTTTCTACAGGGAAAAGCAGCGTTAGAATAAAGATGTTTGGAGACAAACTATATTTGTATTAGTAAGCAGTAAAAGGAATTTATAAATTTCATCAGGATCTGATTGGAGGACAAAAAAAGGTATTGCGGGCCAACCTGGTTATCATTTATATGAGACAAAAGGCCGGTCCTATTATGAAATTTTTTCAAATGTCGAGACGATCGGAAGTTAGATTCCTATAGATGAACGGCAGGGTGTCTGTGTAGACCAGAGAAGCGTAGATAAGCTGAAGAAAGTTCATAAAATCTAAAGCCGATCAGATGGTATAGACCACTACAAGACGGTCTTTGTAGAGGAGAGAAAGGGAAGGCCCCCCAACACACAAGTCAACGTGGGAACCATTTATATAAGACAAACAGGAGGGGTCTCTAATGAAAGAACTTTAGGAAGGTCAGGACGTTACTATATAGATGAGCCGAAAGTATAGTCCATTGGTGGACAGAGAGAAGTATATATGAGGAAGATCTTAAGAGGAAAGGGAGTTTATTATATGCGAACTGAAGGGCCTTTATAGACGGGTCATAGCCAACGCTTCTTTATAGACGAGTCATAGCCAACGCGAGGCGTTTTTTTTACTTCAATATGTTCAATTCACTTTTCGATGAAGTGAAGTATTTTAAAGGAATCTTTTTTCTTGAAGCAGGGGAGTGCAAAGGAGTCTATTAAAAATATTTTTATAACATCCAGGAGTGAGGCTTCATAGAGGTTTGGATGCTTTCCACGGGGGCTTTCTCCCTTCTCAATTGTGTGTTTAAAAACATATTTTTCCAAAATTTCCATATCTATGTTTTGTAGTTTTTTTGTAACATTCAATTTTTCATTTCCAGGTAGAATATCAGGCCTTACCCAGCCCACTTAATGAACAGAAACCAGATCCCGTTGAAATGGCCAAAAAAGAATTGGCCGAGCTGACAGGTGGCATGGATTTAAATGAATTGCAAGCAATTCTCGAGCCAAAGAAACACAAAAAATCCCAACTACCCACAACACAGCTTAAGGAAGGCGAAACATCAAACGAATTACAGAATGAAGTGGAAACCCCACCAGGTCTACAGCCCACCTACAACTTGGCAGCCTATGTCAACAAATCAGAATTGTTGCAGAATTTCATAAAAATGGGTGTCGATTTGAGTTCAATAGAAAAACGTAAAGGTTTGGCACAATTTGTGTTGAGCCTGGAAATGGAAAAGGATGTCCATCCCAGATTATTGTTCCTACAGGACCAGGGTGTACCGGCAGAATTGTTCGGAGATTTTATAACCAAAAATCCTTTAATATTTAAAGTCGACATGGACGATATGCAGACAAGAGTTAATTACTTGGAAGCGAAACGCTTCTCCAAAGTGCAAATCCAAAGAATCTTGACCCTAAATCCCTTTTGGCTGATGTTCTCCACGAAAAGGATTGACAAGCGTTTGGGCTATTTTCAAAAGGAATTCGCCCTGAGTGGTGACGATGTGCGGTATCTTAGCAGTAAACAGCCGCGTTTGATAACGTACAATATGCAGCATTTGGCCGATGCCACGTTTTGTGTGCGCGAAGAAATGGGCTTCACCAAGGAGGAAATCAAAGTGTTACTCTTAAGTAAACCACGTCTATGGATGTTGAGTAAGTTGAGATTTAAATGTTTTGTCACGTTGTTCTGTAAATGTTGTTTAATTTTATTGCAGAACCCGATGATCTAATTGAACGTTTTGCTTATGCCCACAATGAAATGAAGCTATCCCACCAAATGCTGTTGCAACAACCGGAAATATTAACTTCGCGGGAGTTCCGTTTGCGTGAACGCCATGAGTTTCTTAAAATGTTGGGTCGTGCCCAATACGATCCGGAAAAGGATCTCTATATTTCGCCCAAAGCCCTGGTAGAGGGAAATAATCATCACTTTGTTCGAAAAGTGGCCAAGAGTGATATGGAAACGTTTGAATTGTTTTTAAAAAATCGCTAAAACTAAAATGCAATTTGTTAACTAGGTCTAGTTTAGAATAAACATTTCATAAATCTATAATTATTGAAAAGAAAAAAAATGTTTAAAAATATATGTAAGGTTTTAAAATGTAAAGACTAATTCTAACGTCTAAAGTTTAAAATAACAATCCGTAGCGAGAGAGGGAGAGAGAGAACCAAGAGGTAAAAAATTTTCCAGATGAATCTAAGAGGGAGGCATAATAGACGAACTGAAAGGGGACCTTCTGACTTTCTATAGGTAAATTGAGGCCAAAAACTTACCGATTTTTGGTTGATCTATTTGAAAATTGTCCAAACGTTGGTGTCTTTTTACAAAATTCTCAACTTATTTCAAAACTCTAAATAGATTTTTATTTATTTATTTATTTTACTTTAATATCACAGGACTCATAGTAGATAATATCGGGGACGCATGCCTGATATTGTTCATCAAAGAAATAGTCCCACGAGCAGGTCCTTTCGTCCACGGGAGCACCGTTTTCACACAAAACATAGTTGTGACAATTATTGTTGCCACTGGAGACCATCATAGTGCCACGCCCATCACAAGGATTATATTCACATTTAACATCTGTCGGATTGACACATGCCTGCGTGGCTTCACTGAAGAATTTACCTTCCGGACATTGACCCCATATCGGTTCCAAATCAGGAACGCTGCCCATGTTGCGACAATAGAAATAACCACGACAGGTGGCTTGATCCGGCACATAGCCCACATAGGGTTTTTTATTTTTCACACACATATCTTCTTTGTGCGGATGTGCCGTGCACACCATATCAGCTTTATTGACACAGTCCTGAATTTGGACATTAAAAAATTGATTTTTACATGATTTCGCGGTTGGCGCATTCTTGGAGCATAGGAAATAGTTACTGCAATCATTCTCGTCGCGATATTGGGTCTTGTCCGGTACCAGTTCACAAATGTTGGGAACATCGGTACATTTGGAGTCTCTTTTATAGACACACATAGGTATACTCTCATCGAAATGCATGCCATCCGGACAGGAGCCCCACATCGATTGGCCAGATAGGCAATAGAAATAGCCGTGACAATTTGTGCGATCCGCCACAAATATGTCGTTTTTGCCCTCACAAGCATTCTTGCATTGGGTATTGGTGCTGGATTTTAGGGCAACGCATTTCTGGGATTTAACATCGAAGGCCATATCGGGGTCACATATGTGAATGGTGTAGTTGGTAGGGGTGTGGCATTCAATGTATTCACCACACGCATCGGGCACTGCGACTTTGGTATTGTCAGCGAATAGTCGGCATAGACCGACATATTTTTCGGCCACGGCAGCCTTGGCGACATGTGAGGTCAAGCAGAGGCTGAAGATGAAGATGGCAAACGACACAATGTTAAGCGCTGAAATAAAATCGGGAAGAAAAAAATACAATTTTTTGCAATTAGGTCGTTTTGAAAAAAAAAATTAAGAATTATCATTTTTTTACGATTTTCAAATGATACAAATTAAAAGCCATTTTTTATAGACAAATATTTGAGCTATCGATTGCTCTTTTTCGGTGACCCATAATGAAATTTGATGAAGAGTATTTTATCCTTTGACATCAACTGTCGAGAATTTTTTATTAGCATCCTTTTCGATCCATAATTGAAAAACGCCAAAAAATACCAAACATTTTCAGATGGCACAAATTAAACCCAATTTTAATAGACAAATATTTAAGCTACGGATTCCCCTTGTTCGGCGACCCATGGTGAAATTTAATGGAGAACATTTCCTCCAATAACGTTAGCTGGCTGAAAACAATTCTTTGAGGCCTTTTTGACCGATTATTAAAAAAGAAATGTAAAAATGACCAAAAATCTACAAATGGTCCAATTTAAGACCCATTTTTATAGACCTACATTTGAGAAAGGTATTTCCCTTGTTCGGCGACCCTTAATGAAATTTGATGAAGAGTTTTTTATCCTTTGACATCTACTGTCGAGAAATTTTTATTAGCATCATTTTCGATACATAATTGAAAAACGCCAAAAATGGTACAGATGGTACAAATTAAACCCAATTTTAATAGACAAATATTTAAGCTACGGATTCCCCTTGTTCGGCGACCCATGGTGAAATTTTATGAAGAATGTTTCATCCTTTGACATTAGCTGGCTGAAAAAAAAAATTCTTTCAGGACTCTTTGACCGATTATTAAAAAAGAAATGTAAAAATGACCAAAAGTGTACCAATGGTCCAATTTAAGACCCATTTTTTATAGACCTACATTTGAGAAAAGTATTTCCCTTGTTCGGCGACCCATAATGAAATTTGATGAAGAGTATTTTATCCTTTGACATCAACTGTCGAGAAATTTTTATTAACATCCTTTTCGATCAATAATTGAAAAACGCCAAAAAAAATACCAAACATTTGCAGATGGCACAAATTAAACCCAATTTTAATAGACAAATATTTAAGCTATGGTTTCCCCTTGTTCGGCGACCCATGGTGAAATTTTATAAAGAATGTTTCATCCTTTGACATTAGTTGGCTGAAAAAAATTCTTTGAGGTCTTTTTGACCGATTATTAATAAATTGCAATTGCAAAAATTATCCAATTAAAACCCCATTTCTTGAATTCCATCACGAATAACCTTTTTTCCGGGAAAATTCTCAGCAAAATGCTTTTGTACGCTTGTAAACAATATAATGAGCTGTCACTGGAATAATTTTAACAGCTGTCGGACGAGTGGCTTAGAAATGACAGCAGTCTGAAATTGGTGGAAATTGTGTGTTTACGTTTCATTGCTGCCAATTTAAAACGTTTCCATTCTAAGTCAAAATCTCCCTTTATACTTAACTTTTTGGGGAAAGTGTCAATGGAAGAAATTTTCTACATAAAATTTTAGCATCAATCTCAGAATAAACCTTATATCTAGGTTTAGTAGTTTTTGTGAAAATTACATTCGTAATTTTGCATATTATAAGTGGATTTTTTTTGTTTACGTTTCATTGTTGATAATTTAAAAGGTTTCCATTCTAGGTCAAAATCTCCCTTTATACTTCATTTTTTGGGGAAAGTGTCAATGGATGAAATATTCAACACAAAATTTCACCATAAATCTCAGAACAAACCTTACATCTAGGTTTAGTAGTTTTTAAGAAAATTTCATTTAAATTTTATATATTACAAGTGAAAATTGTGTGTTTACGTTTTTTTACTGACAATTAAACACGTTTCCATTCTAGGTCAAAATCTCCCTTTATACTTAATTTTTTGGGGAAATTGTCAATGGAGGAAATATTCTACACAAAATTTCACCACCAATCTCAGAATAAACCTTATATCTAGGATTTGTAGTTTTTAAGAAAATTACATTCGCAATTTTGCATATTACAAGTGGAAATTGTGTGTTTACGTTTCTTTGCTCCTAATTTAACAGGTTTCCATACTAAGTCAAAATCTCCCTTTATACTTCACATTTGGGGAAAGTGTCAATAGAAAAAATATTCTACACAAAATTTCCCGATAAATCTCAGAACAAACCTTATATCTAGGTTAAGTAGTTTTTGTGAAAATTACATTTAAATTTAGCATATTACAAGTGGAATATTTTTGTTTACGTTTCATTGCTGCTAATTTTAAACGTTTCCATTCTAGGTCAAAATCTCCCTTTATACTTCATTTTTTGGGAATAGTGCCAAAGAGACAAATATTCTACACAAAATTTCACCATCAATCTTAGAATAAACCTTATATCTAGGTTTAGTAGTTTTTAAGAAAATTACATTTAAACTTTGCATATTACAAGTGGAAATTGTGTGTTAACATTTTTGTTTTACTGATAATTTAAAACGTTTCCATTCTAAGTCAAAATCACCGTTTTTACTTCATTTTTTGGGGAAAGTGTCAAAGGAGGAAATATTCTACACAAAATTTCACCATAAAACTCAGAATAAACCTTATATCTAGGTTTAATAGTTTTTTTTGAAAATTACATTTAAATTTTGCATATTACAAGTGGAAATTGTGAGTTTACGTTTCATTGCTGCTAATATAAAACGTTTCCAAATTAGGACAAAATCTCCCTTTATACTTAATTTTTTGGGGAAAGTGTCAAAGGAGGAAATATTCTACACAAAATTTTACCTTAAATCTCAGAACCAACCTTATATCTAGATTTAGTAGTTTTTGAGGAAATTACATTTAAACTTTGCATATTACAACTGGAAATTGTGTGTTAACATTTTTCTTTTACTGCTAATTCAACAGGTTTCCGTTTTAAGTCAAAATCTCCCTTTATACTTCATTTTTTGGTGAAAGTGTTAAAGGAAGAATAATTCTAGATGAAATTTCAGAGTGAGTCTCTAAAGAAACGAAATTTGTATACCTAATATGTAACATGATAATGTATAATCAACTTAAGTTTATATTTCCGTTTCCATATAGTTTGACTGACCAAATAGCCAATATGGATTATGAAAAATTCGGAATAATACCCGGTTTGTATTCAAAAAACACTTCGATGACTTCGTATGACTACTAAATCCATTCGATTTAAAATGGCGATTCCACATGCATTGAAATCAAAGAGTGTTAAATCACTAAGTTTTTAAGTTAAATTGTTGGCCTGATTTTTTACTTTCGCTTATTTTGGGCTAATACGCATATTTTAAAGAAGGTAACAAAAAGCTGTGAGTTCCACCGGACCGAGCTTTGAATACCCTCCACCATTTAAAATGAATTTGGCAATTTCCAAAAATTAAAAAAAAAAAAATAAAATCCGTTAAAAATTCTGTTAAAATCTTAAAAAATACCAAATATGGCCGTCATATTAGGGTCTAAACGACTACGTGGACCGGCACAGACAATTTTCTGTCTTAGGCTGAAGTATCCATTACGAACTTCAAATACCAAATTTCAAACAATTCCGGTGAAAAATGTTGCTAAAACCATCAAAATACCGATTATCGGGAGGTGCTGTTATATGGGGGCTATGCGAAGACGTGGACCTGCAGAGACAATTTTCTGTCATAGGCTGTAGTATTCATTACGAACTTTAAATACCAAATTTGAAACAATTCCGGTGAATAATAACGCTAAAATCATCAAAATACCGAATATCGGGAGGTGCTGTCATATGGGGGCTATATGAAGACTTGGGCCTGTACAGGCAACTTTCTGCCTTAGGCTGTAGTATCCATAATGAACTTCAGCTACTAAGTTTGAAACAATTCCGGTGAAAAATGTCGCTAAAATCATCAAAATACCGAATATCGGAAGGTACAGTTATATGGGGGCTATACGAAGACGTGGAGCTGTACAGACAATTTTCTGTCTTAGGCTGTAGTATCCATTACGAACTTCAAATACCAAATTTGAAACAATTCCGGTGAATAATGTCGCTAAAATCATAAAAATACCGAATTTTGGGAGGAACCGTCATATGGGGGCTACACGAAGACTTGGACCTGCACAGACAATTTTCTGTCATAGGCTGTAGTATCCATTACGAACTTCAAATACCAAATTTGAAACAATTCCGGTGAATAATGTCGCTAAAATCATCAAAATACCGAATTTTGGAAGGAACCGTCATATGGGGGCTACACGAAGACTTGGACCTGCACAGACAATTTTCTGTCATAGGCTGTAGTATCCATTACGAACTTCAAATACCAAATTTGAAACAATTCCTGTGAATAATGGCGCTAGAACCATCAAAATACCGAATATCGGGAGGTACCGTTATATGGGGGCTATACGAAGACGTGAACCTGCACAGACAATTTTCTGTCATAGGCTGTATTATTCATTACGAACTTCAAATACTAAATTTGAAAAAATTCCGGTGAAAAATGTTGCCAAAACCATAAAAATGCTGAATATCGGGAGGTATCGTTATATGGGGGCTATACGAAGACTTGGACCTGCACAGACAATTTTCTGTCATAGGCTGTAGTATCCATTACGAACTTTAAATACCAAATTTTTCCGGTGAATAATGTCGTTAAAATCATCAAAGTACCGAATGCCGGGAGGTATCGTTATATGGGGGCTATACCAAAACGGTAGATTTCAATACCAAAAGTCCTGCAGACATAAAATACATTTGAGTAAAATTTTATCAATCTACTTCATTTCGTTCGGAAGCTAGAGTGATTTCCACAGACGGACTGACATCGCTGGATCGAAATAGAATTTTATGCTCAATAAGAATATATATACTTACAAACGGAATGACAAACTTAATATATCCTCCATACTATGAAGGGCGGTATAAAAACTAATCCCCACCGAGAATTGACAACCAGATGTCGTTGTTGTGCCTTAACTCACTCTTTAGCGAAATTGTAAACAAAGGCCAAATGTAAACAAACTTTACGAATTGTAATCAGCTGTCATCACAAC